GTCTTAATTTTTTGAGGAATCTCCCCATTGATTCCCACAGTGTTTACACTGGTGTGTGCTCCCATAAAAAGTAGAGAAGTGTTCTTGTTTCTCCACAGCTCTTCCAGTATTTGTTATTGCTTTTTTTTCTTAGTAATAGCCCATTCTTTCTAGGGTGTGGTGGAATCTCAGCATTATTTTAATTTGTATCTCTTGAATGACAAATGATATTGAATACTTTTTCATATATTTATTTGCTGTTTGTACTTCTTCATCTGTGAAGTGTGTATTCATCTCAGATCTTCATTTTGGATTAGGTCTTTAAATTTGGGGAGATCTTTAAATATTTACAATGATTTATATATTCTAGATAGTAAGTCTCTGTTTGAGAAACAGTGAACAAAATCTTTTCCCATTATGTGGGTTGTGTTTTCACCATGTTAATGATTTCTTTCTCTGTGAAAAAACGTTCTACTAAAATGAGATCCCAATTGTTGATTGTATTTTGAATCTGGTCCTCAAATTTAGGGGATCTGATTGTTTTGAATTCCTTGTATGTTCTATATATAAGTCCTTTGTGGGACAACTGGCTATAATTTTTCCTACTCTGTGGGTTTTGTTTTTACTCTGTTGGTGTTTTATTTTCCTAAAAAAGCTTTTTGATAAGATGGGATCCCAATTGTTGTTTCTTTGCAGTATTTCCCATGCACTCAGGGTTTTGTTTATGAAGTTGTTGCCTGCACTTATGTCTTCAAGAGTTTTGCCTATTTTATTTTCCAGCAGACTTGGTGCTTCTATTTTAATATTTAGATTTCTGATCCATTATGATTCTAGTTTAGTGCATGGCAAGAGACACGGGTCTAATTTTAGTTTTCAATATGTGAAAATCCAGTCTTTTTTTCAGCACTGTTTATTGAAGAGGCTTTCTTTCAGTGAACATGCTTGGCCCCTTTGTCAAAGATAGAGTGACTGACATGGCGACTGTCCTGCTTCAAGGTTATATATGGTTAGTTTATTGGACTTATGTGTAAACATAAGAATTATATAATTCTTTATGCCTATTTTTAAAATAAAATCTAATTTTTAAATGTTTTTTTTATCATTCTCTAGAGACACAAAAAGCAAAACATATCAATACTTGATGAAAAATACCTGTTCCATGTTATGCCTAAGATGTTTGATATTCAGACAGACAGTGAGGTTAAGCTTAACAGCCTAAGTTGTATGGTAATAACCATAAGCTTGTCTTCTGGATGGTTAACAACCTAAGTGTGCAGACCAAAATTAGAGAAAAAGGAGGGCTGCAAGGAAAGCCAACTTTTTGGCCCTAGCCTTCCAAGGTCAATTAAGGCTCAGAACATATGAAACTTGGACTGTAACATCATGTAAGTTGGTAGTGTCCCAAGTTTTATGATCAAGGAGATTATGGGGCCAAAGAGAAAAGTGATTGATGATGTAGAGTATGCCTAAGGAGAGTCACATGGAGAGAAAACGTTCTCTCAGGCTTTCACAGAGAGCACATTGGCCAAGCAATGGCCGTGACTCGTCCACATGGCTGACACTGACAAAGGTTCTACAATCTGAGGTACAGGATCTCAGGATAAATCCTGAGGGGATTTCACTGACCTTATCAGACCCAAAAGCTACAACTCTTATTGCATAGGTCCTGCTTTACCTTGGTCTTAACCATCCAGCAGAAAAGTATAAAAAAGAAATATAAGAAGTAAAGCCATGTTGTTATGTTGAGCTGTAGGGGACTCAGGTCAACAATTTCTTACATTGCCGGTGACTCGGAAGCCCCAATACTATTATGGACTACTGGACTCTTTTAGAATATTTTGCTGAGTTTACACACCTATAATATTCAAATAACAGAACTTAACAAAAAAAGGGGATACAGATGAATGTCCATTTTGTATCTGTGTATTCAAAGTGGTTAGGATAGATATATAGTTAAATTCTCTTAATGAATAGAGTGATTTGTTCTAATAGTGTTTGTAAATAGGATATCCTGTCCGCATCTTGTACAGCAACTAACCACTGGGAAGAATGTGTGCAATGTGTTAATTATTGAAACTGTCCTACCAATTTGATTTGAAACTCTCTCATTGCTATTTGTTTCTCAATAAAATTATGAAAAAAATACAATAAAAAAGAGAGACAAAGAAAGTGATTGAGATGTTTGGAGTTGTTTTTGAATCTCCTAATTTGTTCCATTGGTCTTCATGTCTGTTTTTTTCCCCAGTATCATACTGTTTTTATAGTTTATAATATAATTTCAAGTCAGGGATTGTGATTCCTCCTTCTTTGCCTTTGTTGTCTAGGATTATTTTTGGTATTCTAAATCTCTTATAGATCCAAATGAATTAGGGAGATTGGCCCACAGATATCTTCTTTGGTTGGGTCTTTCTCTGGTTTTTGGTATGAGGGTAATGCTCATTTTTAGGAATGACTTTGGGAATATCACTTCCCTTTCAATTTCATTAAAGGGGGATTTTAGGATTAACGACATTAGATCTTCTCTACGTTTCTTGTGGAATTCAGCAATAAACCCACCAGTACCTGGGCTTTTCTTTATTTGTGAATTTTTAGTTACATTTTCAATTTTATTGACTGATATTGGGTTATTTAAAATTTTTTATCTTATTGATTTAGTTTTGGTAATTATATGTGTCTAGGAATCTTTCCACTTCTGTTTTTTTTTTTTTTTTTAAGTTTATGAACTTATTACAGGGTCTACATGGTCTCACTACACAGATTAGACTTATAGTGATCTTCCTGTTTTCAGCCTCCCAAGCACAGAGAGTATAGGCATGTACCACTATTGCCAGTCTTAATTGCTGTCCTGAGGGTGGGGCCAGCACCACATGCTGGGGATTGAACCTCACTACCTGTGTCTGCCTAAGCAGGTGCCTTAATCGGCTGAGCTATCTGGCTGGCCGCACTCCTGTGTTTTTAATTTATTAACATAAAGTTCTCAAAGTAGGTATTGATGATTTTCTGAATTTCTATAAGGTCTGTAATGATTTCACCCTTTTCATTCCTAATTACATGAATTCGAGTCTTGTCTTTCCTCTTTTTGATAAGGATAGATAAGAACTTATCACTTTTATTTAGTCTTTTAAAGAATCAACTCTTCAATTCATTGATTATATTTTTTGTCTCAATTGAATTAATTTCTGGTCTTATATTTATAATTTGTTCCCTTGTATGAGCTTTAGGTTTGATTTTCTCCTTTCCTAGAAGCTTGAAGTTCAACATTAGGTTATTCATTTGAGCTTGTTCTGCTTTCGTGATGGAAGAATTCACCTAAATCCCATATTAATAAAAAAAACAATGTCAGCCAGGAGAGCTATGTTACCTGCATGTGGGAAGGAAACATTAATTATGTTGAATTTATAAAATATCAGGATTTATTTTTAATTGTGGCATGAGTGATATGCAGGGACATTGTTATGATACTTAGGATAAATGCAATCACTTTCTTTGAAAGTAAATTTTCTGTCTTTTTTCTATTTGTTTTTGCTCTTCAAAATTAAAGTAAATTAAATTAAGAAAGAAAAAGAAAGAGGGGGCTTGTAGGTTAGCTCAGTTGTTTGAAGTGCCTTTTTGAGCAACCTCAATCAGGCATGGGGAACCACGATTTGATCCCCAGCTCCACAATGGCACTAGACCCACCCTTAAGGCATCCTGACCTAGAAAAATAAAATCCTAGCTTTGTGCAGTGGCAGTATTGTACCCAATGAGGTTTATCCCAGACACAATTATTGCTGATTGAAAACTTTTCCCAGAAAGTAAATTATCATTTACCATCAGATGTGTTCTATATGTTCATTCTTTTGTGATTCTGAAAATTTACTCCTGACACTTTCTCTCTCTCTCTCTCTCTCTCTCTCTCTCTCTCTCTCTCTCTCTCT